GTTTCGGACTTGTGAGTTGTAAAAAAGTTGACTATATAATGACTTTCGTGTAAATATCGGTAAAGATACTCTTATATAAAGTCTAAAAAATGTCTCAATTCTATCATCGTAATTATTATATTTCACGCTTACTGTTTGGTGCTATTCTTATGCAACAGCTGAGAATTGCTTTTTCAGTTGTTTAACATACTTTTCGAATTCATACGATTGATATTCTTGCGCTCCAACTCAAAAGTGCAATACAGTAACAAATTTGGGTGATGAACTTTTGTAAAGAAAGATTGTTTCGACGCTATTTGCTCGTATAAAAATTGAACGAAGCCCAGGCGAATCGAACGTGACGATTTGCTATCGTTTTACGATCGTCCTGTCGCGCGGAAAAATTGCGTTGAATCGATTTACGAGCGGCTGGCGCGCGCGCTCCAGAAACGAAAATCGGTCGACGATCGGCAAAAGCAGCCTAGCCTCGCCGGTGTGTATTCTAATTGAAAGCTGCTGCTCGACGCACCGACACGAGGACAAAGGAATAAACGAGCGAGGACGGAGAAAAAAGCAATCGACCGACGAAGAAGGTCGCCACGGCCGGAGGCGAGGGACAGGGTCAGTGCTCGTAATAGCGCTGCCATAAAATCATGAAAATAAATTATTGCGTAGATGATGGCGGACGTTAACTTCCAGGCTGGTCTCGTGACACCACGGCCGTCGCGACGACCGTTAAGCTGGTCCCGGACACCTTCGGTCCCCTGTCCACACACACCGGAGAAAGTTTACGTTTATGCGTTTACGAAGCAGCAATAAACCGACGACGCCCCGGCCAAAACGAGAAGAAAAAAAAAACAAAACCACGACGACGTTTACGAGACCGGCCAAAAGGGTTGCGACCAGGCAAGGGTTGAGAAGGGGCTCGCGTTTGGGTTTCCAGTTTATTGTGGACGACCCTTTCCCTACTCGAGGATCTCGTTCGAGGTTTTTCAGCGAAATATCGAGTTTCCGCGCTCAATCTCCCCTCGTCGGGAGGATTTCGTCTCGACAATGAGAGATACTTCCGGTTCCACCCGGAAGACACTCGTGTTCCCCCTTTTCATCTCTCGGGACGGGTTATCCAGAATGAGGAATCTCTCCACTGTGAGCAGTTTTCTTCTCGACGATGCTTTTTCACCCCCTCCATTAGCTCGTTGCGTAGGAAACGTTCATTTTTAAGACTCGTCCCTACTTTGTTATTAAACACAAGTCTATGTATGCAAATTCATGGTGGGTTTGAAAAATTATGTTTCTCACATTCGACTTCCGTGAGATATTTGTTTTTTTATTTTTTATTAACTCCTTTGATGCTACAAACTATATATTATGGCCAACATATACATAGATTTACACAATAAAAATATACAGTTCGATGAAAAATGAATCGAGACTAGTCGAAGAATGACATCTACAAGGGATGTAAAATTTTTCTATGAAATTGTCCATTTGGTACACAACCGAGCAATCTCTTTGTGATCGTTCGAGGGAAAGGAAAGTCCCAAAGGTAAGTGTGTTACAGAACGCGTAGGCGATCGTGATCCGACAGGTGGCGGCGACGCACCAGCCCGCGTAGGAGTACCTCACAATGGGACCAGAAGGCAGCCAGCAATCCGAGCGCAATAAATCACACGGAAGTACACGACTGGCAATTAATCGTGACGTTATTGATCCTCGAGAAACGATCGGGCGGTAACGAGCAAACGAGGCGGGGGCGTTCGAAGCAAATTTCGCGTTTATGGACTAGAATTATTTTAAGGACACCGTCCACCGTCCGCCATAAATCTTGAAACATTTAAAAACTCCCGAAAAAGAATAATCGTGCGTTTAGTCTTTTTACTTGGTATTTTGGTTATCGTTTATCGACAGATTTTGAAGGTTGTTAAAATCGTTTCTCGGGCGAATCGTGCCGCGAGTGACTCGATCAGCGGTAAAACGATACGCCTGCAGCCGTAAAATTCCACCAGCGGTGGCCTAGTAGCGGAGGACGCTAAAGAAAACGGCAAACACAATCCGAAATCTTGAGACAGTTTCGCGCGAGCACCGCGTAACCGAAGAAGCCTGACAGGCAAGTTCATCGAACCGCCATCACGTTTTCTGCCCGCGAGCATGCACGTGCCTATTCGTCCTTCGAATCGGAATTGTTATCGGTACCATCGAATTTCGCGCGACCAAAGAACATTCGAGCAACGGCTAACCGCAGGAATTTATACATTTTTTTTATGTTACTCTCCGATTAAAATTGGAATTTTTATTCCATACAACGTTCATCCTCGAAATTTTTCACGAACTTGTAAAATGACGAGAAATTCCTGCGATAGAGGTGTTCTTAGCGAAGAAGAAGTCTTTGGAATTGTTAGCCTCTGCAGGCGCTCGAAACTTTGTGGAACACTCTTTATAGAAATACTTGTTGCGCTTCGTTGAAAATTTTAATCTTTCGTACGGAAAGGGCATTGCTACGATATAGGGTAAATTGTACGTGGCGAGTATTCTTCGGGAGGAAAAGTTTGCAAACTGTTCTTTTCTCGATGGAAGTATAGAGTTTGATCCTTCATTTGAATATATCCAGCGGTCAGGTATTTAGTTTGGTGATTTTCAAACTCCACGTTACAGTGGAATTAAATTACTGTTGCGTTGGCTACCAAAATGTGTCGTTGATCGAATTAGATCTTAAACATACCGTGATTGCAGTAGGACCAAAAATTCTACGTAAGCACAAGCAATAATTAATGACGTGCTTGAGAAATTTAATCCGTGCGAGCATTTTTCTTAATGAAACTAGAGTTATTCTTCTCCGAGTGTGCGTGTGCCTAATATGGCCTACCTCTAGTGTTCCCAAGGACACCGAGTGGTTTCAATGTGGCATTTGCTACGGACGGGGACATAAAATCCGCAAGGTTAGCGAAATGAACTCTGCTCGTCCAATACGAAAACCAAAACGACTTAAATAAATAATAAAAATAACTTTACCAACTCGCGTAGACATGAAGGAATCAATATTTTTATTTCGAGATGAATTAAATGGAAAAATATGAATTTATAAGGATGTCGATTAACGATGTCAACTGTATTATTTATTATTCCTACGACTATTCGACACAAAATACATGAAAGACATAAGCGACTTCTCTCGACCAGAGTGTCTCTCTGCTCTCGAAGTCTACGCATCATAAACAAAAGAGTCATCGACACGGAGGACCCTCGAACGCCTTTCATCCTAAACCTAGATACTTCCATCGTCGATACGCATTTGATGTTAGCCTAAAAATTTCCATCATCGACACCAACGATAACGTTAACCCTCTGCACTCCTGTGTCGACATCAGTTTTTATCCGAGGAACTCCTTTTTCGAGTCCCACTCGACATTTTATCAAGTCCAAACCAAAGAGATATACATTTGAAAATTACAAAATACGATATTTTTTAATCAACGTAAATTTCAAATAAAGCACTTAAAAGCATTGGGAGCAACTGATAACAAGATTGAAATATAATTCGGAGTGCAAAGGGTTAAGACATATACACATATACGTTTCTAACAAATTGTTGAGGATCCGCGATTTTTGGCAACGTCGCCATCTATCCATCTCTAAAGCAACAAGGACGATTATGGCGGGGCCACCGAGGACCACTGTTCACGCGATTTCATGTCACTGATTACACTCTCTCGGTAAACGTGCAAAAGTAAAAGATCATTTGCCACAGTCAATATCCACCCGAATATCTGACACAAATTACATTTCAATCGACGTACGAAACAAGGGTGGAAAATCGTTGGAGCACCTTTCACCGTCGACGGGCATCCCCTGTGAAAGGTTCCAAAATCGAACGTTCGACGAGTGTGACAATTGGACGTAGACGAAAGAAGAACAGAAGCGTAAAGCGTAAGCGTAAGGGGAATCCGCGAGAACGGGACAGAGTCGCGTTGCAGAGGATCGTTCCGAGGGAACAAAGACAGAGGAACGAGGCAGAAGAGAGGCCGGGAGGAAGCCGGCAAGGTTAGAGGGAGAGGAACGAAAGGCAGAAGGCGAAACGACAAGGTACGGTCTCGCGGTTGGCTCGAGCGAGAGGGCGCATGGCCTTGGCCGCTGCTGCGGGGTAATTCAGTCAAGGTTTCGGCCGATGAACTTCCTCCGATGGGAGGAAGGAGAGCCGGCCGGTAGAGGTCCGCGGCAGCGGTGGGGATACGGGAGGGCCAATCGCGGCGGCACGCGGCCCAGCGAGCGTCGTCGCGATTGGTTGGGCCCGTGACGCCAGTGCCCGGGCCCGCAGCCGGTTGTCAGTGACCTCCAGCATTGAAAATACGATGAACTCTCTCGGGGGGCTCTGTAAGAGCACACCGGTGCGCTGTGTGTCCTCTACTACATACTAGGTAGCCAGGGCGTAGACATTGTAGATGGTCGAGGCAGCCTGGCAAGCAGGCAGCCACATCAATCCCTCCCCACCACCGGCGTCGCTCCGAGTAAGGGCTGCACGGCCCCCAGGTAACCAACACTCGGCAGCGCCGAACTCCAGCCAGACCAACGCGAACCTCCCTCGAGCGAACACTTACTTTCACTCTCTCTTCTGCCTTCCATCCGCGCTCTTTCGTTCGTTCCTTCCTCTCTCGCGCCTCGTGTGCACCCGGTTGTCGTCCTCGCGTATAACACGGAGGAGGTGTCCATCGCTCGCCACAGAACGCACCTGCCCTTGCCTTCGGTAGGATCTCGACTCCCGTTCAGTGATATTCGAATTCCTTGGTTATCACGTGGTTAACCTTTGGTGCTCGACCAAGCCGGTACAGACTGATAGAGAGAGAGAAGGATTTATCGATTTTACGTGAACAAGTGAGTTAGTGATTTGGTCCAGTGATCGAAGGGAACACGGTGGACCGATGTCGGTCCTCGACTCGCAGTCAGTGCAGTGCCGTGCCAAGTGGATAGTAGATCAAAGATCGTAGAAAATCCTGGATTCCTTCTTAGCGTCGACGATCGCGTTAAACATGATTCTGACGCCGGATAGCAGTGCACAGGCGACAGCGGCTACGTCACCGGCACCGGAATCGCCGATCTCTGGCATCTCGTCGCATGGTTCGCGCGCGTTTGGCGCCTCGCGCATGTCTTGCGTCTCACAGAGCATGTCCGGTGCTTATCACGTGGCCCAGTTGCCTCATCATCTCAGCCCGAACATGCCCACCATGGACTCCACCGTCTCGTCGGCGAAACCCGAACCCGAATTGAACATAGGTACGACTCGACCGATCGAAAACTGGTTTCTCGTGGGGAAGGGGAGGTGAGGGGGGGGAGGGGGGGGAATTAAATTTACGATCGCGATCCGGGGGGATATTCCCGCGTCGAACTGAAAAACGATCGCGCTGCGTGACAGCCGAGTGAAAGCAGAAAGTTGTAACACAGCGATGCTGTAACTCGCCGCGAGAGAGGAGAAAGTGTTCTTCTTTCTCTCCCACCTTTCTCCCTGACGCGCGCTCTCCGTCCACGTGGAGAGCGAACACGTTCGCGGTCCGCCGCGAAGTGAAGTGTAATACGTTTTTTTTTCTCTCTTGTGTTGCAGAATTCGACGGGACCACCGTGTTGTGTCGCGTATGCGGGGACAAGGCGTCCGGTTTTCACTATGGGGTACACTCCTGCGAGGGATGCAAGGTGAGTCGAAATTCGCCACTCGATAATCCGCACGAACGCGACTCCGTTTTAACATTCGACGGATCCTGTTTTCAATTCTTGCTTCCTCGACTGCTATGCACACGGAGTCGCGTTACGAGTAACCGCGACGTTTTCGATATTTTTCATCGCTCGTCGTCGTAGTCGTCGGAGAAATTAGAGAAGAAGAACGGGACGCGTCGACGAAAAGTATCGAAAAAATGTTGAACCGTGACGCCATGTGGCCAGGAAGTGAACGGAGCTTGAATACGAATGTACGATGCGATCAAGGCTACGGGGGAGAAGCTATCGACCGAGCACGGGCTCGACCTTGTCTACACGGAAATCGCGAGACGTTTCCAACTGATCCTTGACGTTACCTCCTCGACCAGCCTCTCCCGGTAGACGAAAAATCTCGCCAAGGTCTCTTTTCTTTCGTCGATCTTTATCGACCGCTGACGCACGTGATATACCCGGAGACTCGTGTATTTGCGCCACGAATTAGCGAATATTTACGAGAAGCATCGGACGGAACAGGATACGACGGGGTCAGCTCGTTTATTTTTCGTGGAAATCGTGGAGGATGATCGATCTCGGGACAATAGCCTCGCGGGCGGTTACGCAAAGGTAGCGGGAAAGGTAGAAATGTGGCGGAATTCTTTGACGAGCGATAAACTTCGGGGCATTGGGAAAACGCGTGAGAAGGGTCCGGGACAGGTAGACGCTCGGACCTTTCGCTTTGTGTCCGGTGGTTTTCGTGTGGCCGCGCCACGGGGCGTTTGAAATTGCACAGGTACGCGTAACAGAGACTGCACATCCGTCCGTTGGACTTCCTGTGTCCAGGTTCCCTCGTTTCTCTATTCTCTCGCCGCTCGAAAATAAACCTCTCGCCATAAATATTCTTTACGATCGATTTGCTCCAGTTCTCGCCGAACGTGTTCGTCGATCGCCGACGAAAATCCCCGCGAAGTCTCCGAACCGAATTTAAATTGTTTTCCTCGAGACCGATAATTACGTCCCGCGAAGGCCAACGTCCTCGTGATCGTCATTGTGCGACTTCAAGGAGGCGAACGGTAGGGGACACCGCAGGCCGCGAATTCGAAGTAGTGGTAGAATGTTGCCCCCACTCCTGGCCGCTTTGCCACCTCCACTGCCTCCACTAGGGATCGTGGGTGGGGGGAACCGCGCTGCCAGATGTTGTGAATCGCCGCTCCGCTCGCAGACCCTCCTCGACCGTCGAGACTCGATGATCTCTCTTTCCTTTTGACGGTTCCTCGAAACGAATCGAAACGGTGATCGATGGCCACGGTTGCAACAGTTTCGACAATTACTTTCCCCCGAAAGGGTCTCTCGGGCACCCGGCGGTCGTTTCTCGAAAGAAGAACGAAAGGAAAGAGAGAGTGGACCGGCGGGGATCCCCGAAAAGCCCCAAAGAGATGATGACGGCCGACCGCGGGAAAGAGAAAGTATCTCGATCTTCCTGGCGTTCAACCCCCGACTGGCTGGTCCTATTTTACGATCCCCCCCGCGAAAGAAGGAACTGGACGGAGACCAAACGACGAGCTTTCCGTCTAGGCTCCCCCACTCAGCCCCGGGCCGGTTGACTGGGTTAGTAACTTATGGCCGCAGCGCCGTAACAGGCGCTATGCCGAACGAGTAGTCGCCGAGTGACCTAGCCGCTAGCGGTAGAGACCGTCTTATGGTGCTGGAAGAGGCAACCGTGGAAAGGGAAGAGAACGCGGAAGAGTGTTGGGTATCTTTAAGACTGGGTCGCTCGGTCGCGCTGCTGTTGCACTATTTCGCCATGGCGACTCCCGCGACCGTTCGCAAGCTACTTTTCCCCGTTCCCTCGCGCAGGTTCAAGGAATTACGATACCACGTCCTCCGTGAACGTTCCAACTTTGGGTTAACTTTGCTTCGAACGAGTAACTCTAGAAAATGGCGGGAATCGTAGGGAGGAGTAGGTTCTCTCGACCGTTGGCCCGGATTTCGTCGGTACGTTGCACCCCGCGACACTTTTCGTGCACGCGTCACTGACCTGGGCTCAGTTTTACGGGCACGAGAGATTCTCGTTGGCGGGATCGCGTGGCCGCGATAAAGGCGCGATAAAAGCCACGGCATATTCCGGTCGCGTTTAAATAAGCGGCTGGATCCACGAAAGGGGATCCCGGCCGAATCTCCGTCGACCGTTCGAGCAGGGTCAACGTTCTCCGGGTCGAGATTCGCGCGCGAAACCGTCGGTTACGGGTCCCTTGAAATTTCGGTGGAGGAGCACCGCGTCGCGAAACGAAAAACAGGGATTTTTCTCTTTATTTTCGCGTCGACGTTCCTCTCTGTAAATCTCCCGGGCGGGGACAATCAACGGTGGAGGTGCGCGTCGACTCTTTTTCCGGAGGGTTGAAACCAGGCGACCGGTGCATTAACCCTCCGGTCGTCGACCCCCGAGCCAGTTACGTCACACGACGTTACCTCCTCCTCCTGGTGCCCCTTCCGCCGCGGGTTAGACCCCTTCCCCTCCCCTCTGTCCCCCCGCTCCATCTAGCTCGTTCCTCCACCTCCGTCGCATCCTCCGCGTCTCTCACTTCCCCCCCACCTCCCCACCTCCCCTATCGCCGTGGACTCTCCTCCTCCGCCTCCCTCCCGGCTAACCGTCATTTTTGATGTCGTAACGAGTCGTGATCTCATTTTCATTTGATTGCGCGGGTATTTCGGTGCTCGGTTGGGGTTACTGACCCCGGTGCATCTACTTTAGAATCGGGTCAGCCGCTTATTATCGTGGTAGGTGTTCGCTCGACGCGGTATCTCCGGCCGGCCAGAGCGGGAGCGCTTCAAGATAACGCTACTGCCCCCGCCGCGCCGAATCGAACGTCACGCTTCTGTGCCGCCCCGATAAACCCACCCCGTGAAATACGACACCCCGGCTCCGTGGATGATCGCTCGCCCCCGTCCCTGGTCTACGTAGAGTTCGCTCCGCTTTCGGGAAACTGGGTGAAACGATCCTCTCTCTGGGTCGTGCTCGGTCGTCTTCGGGCCGACCCGACGGAATCACCGTTTCGAATCTAATCACTCCGCCAGGAGATTTCCCCGGGAACCGTATTTGTTACAAATTAGGGAATAATGGTGAACCCGATCGATTCGATTCTCAAAAGTCGGAATTCCGTTGATGGTGTATTTTTTGCATCGACTATTTCCAACCGTCTCGCAAATAACCGTTGTCTCGCTGATCGGGCATGGTGTTAATAGATCTAATCAGAGATCCGTAAGAGATACCGAGTATGGATGGAAATAGAAAATAGTTCGAGTGGTGACCTCGGCGGTCGACTTCCCTGGTATCGATGCCCGGGGAATAGAGCAGCGAACTGTTCGAGGTCAAACGAGAGTATTAAAGCTGGTCGGCCAACGGCACCATTTCTTCTCCTCGTTTCTGTTGAATTTACCCAGTTACTCGCTCAGTTTTATCGTACATTTTCGAAATCCTCTCCACGCTTACAGAATCCCTTACTCTCGTTTTTTCTGCATTTTTATATATTCTCGCGGTTTCAAAAATTACGATTTCGTTGGAATCTCAAACGATTACATATGCACATTTTCTTGCGTGCAAATTTGTACAAACATTACTTTTCAAGTTTTTAATTATGCAAGTTTGCCAGTTTGCCAGAATCTCGTGTTCATAAATACTACACTTCTATTGCGTCCTTAAGTATTTTGAAAATTATATTCAAACATTAGAAATTCAACGTGAATCGTAATGTAATTTGATACGCTAGATTACATAAAAAATAAGCTGCCAAAAAAAATAAAAATTTTATTGAAACATTACAAGTCCAACGTGAATCGTAATTTAATTTGATACGCTAGATTACATAAAAAATAAGCTACCAAAAAACAAAAATTTTATTGAAACATAACAAATTCAACGTGAAACGTAATTTAATTTGGTACACCAGATTACGTAAAAGATAAGCTCCCCAAAACAAGAAAGTACAATCATTTTGAGCGTAGTAGAATTTCGTGTAAAAGAGTCACCTAGTAAATATCGATAAAAATTCGTTGTCCGTCATTTTTTCGTAAAAAATTCGCACCTAGATAAGATTGGCGGGCGGGTGTGTGTGGTTTTCGCGCGTCGCGCGGATTAAACGGGCGCGGGCGATCAGCATCTCTGACCTCGGCGATCGACTTGACCGATACATCGGCGTCCGGGGAGCAGAGCGAGCAGCGAATTCTTGGGGTCGTAGGTGCGCGTCGGAGCGAGCGAGTACGCGCGAGCGGTTAATGCCCCCGAGCGGAGCGTAGAGCTATCGTGGCGCATGCGCCGGGACGGGCGCGCGCATTATGTACGTCACCGTTACTCCGTTTCGTGTCCTGTCCTCTCCTCCCCCTCTTGTTTCCCTCCCTCAACCCCCGTCGGTATTGCTCGACGGATCCCTCTCTTTCTCTTTCTCGCTCTTCGCCTTTCGGTCCCTCTTTGTCGCCTCCCGTGCTCTCCTTCTCGCTCGTTCGTATTCCGTCTTCGTTCCCCCTCCCCTCTCGCCCAACGCCCGTGGGAGCAGATACATTCACCTTCCCCTACCGCCCCCTCCGGACCGCTCGACAACCCCCCACCATCGATGCAATCGCGCGCTCCGGTCGTTGGCCCCGCGACCACGTCGTGTGTATATCCCACACTCTCCTTACCTACATCTCTGTACGCGCTCTCGTGTACACGTTTGCCCCGTGTGTGGCTCCCGTCGCGCGTGTAAGTGCCACACCGATACACATGCACGCGAAACCCGCACCGTCGCCGAACTCGCTCCTTTCGCGGAAAATAAAAGCGAACCGGTGAACGTGACTCGCGGCAAGCATCGCCGCCCGGGGTTGTTGGACGCGTGGAATCTGCGCGTTAAAAGGGATGACGGTCGCCCAGTGTCCCGCGATTCCGACGTCCGCCTCGTACCACTCGAAATTTTCGACCAAAGACGCGCGCCGGAAGGTCCCGTTTTCGGATCGATCCGCCAGAACTACTCGAGAAAGACCGGGCTTAAGGGGAACGCGACACCATCAGTAAGTAGAATGTAGACAAGGTTTACGAAGGCTGATTAACGCGTCTGACCCGATACGAGTCACAGTTACTTGCAAGAACTTTTCTGCCTCTCTACCGTACCCATCGGCGACAGAAATTTGAATAGTCTTCGATAGGCCAATTGTTATGATAGTGGAGGTAGATAAAATAAGAATAAAATTTTTTCATTCGAGGACTCCTTTTCCAGTAAGTCGACTTTAAAGACTCATCGAGTATGCGTGGAACAGATTACGATTTAGAGTTCAGCGTAAGTAGAAACAGTGGGTCGTGGACAGACGCACCAGAGCTACAAATTTTCACACTCGGTTATCTCGAAAACGAAGCCTCGAATGAAAAAATGTTTCCTTGAGTTTCGATTTGTTTTTTTCAGGTAGAATCACCCCCTTCTCGATTTTACTGTAAATTTATTTTGGCTTGCCCTACCAAACGTAAAACGTATTCACCGTAGTTTGAATGGGAAATTATCACCACTGTAAAATTTGAAGTATTTACAAAGACTCTGATTATTTCGATAGAATTTGGGAATTCAGACGATCATAGAATCCGTGAGCTAGAATTTCTTCTTCGATAGAACGAACAGAGAAGTTCGAACGGAGAGTTTTCTTGAAAAGTACAATCGGATCAATCGCCACGGTCTCAAACGTTCTTTCCGGGGCGGTATTTTTCGGCGAACCGTCGATTCCCACGGCGGATCGTAGGCTCCGATAGCAATCCGTTTGCACTTTCCGTGGATGTGACCCAATGGAGGCGCGTGCGCCAGCGAACGTAAGTCGAGGCAGCACGCGAAGGTGGTCGCCCCCTGGCCCGTCAGGGCGAATGCACGGTTTGAGAGATCGATGCACCGCATTCTCCCACAATCCTACCCCCCCCCTCCTCCCACCAGCCCAGTCCCACCTCTGCCCGATTCCCGCCAACCAAAGGGTTCAACAGGGGTTGCTGGCCTCGTCCGGGCATCCGCGACACCAGCTCGCGGCCGATAACAATTTGTCGTCCGTGATTTAGCGGCTTGCGTGATTTTCACGGTAGTCGTCGTGCAGCGGGAAATAATCGCAGCCAGAGACGGGATAATAAAATCATCGTAAGATTTCGATCTTTAATTACAGTTCGTCGACGCGAAATTATTAATGGTCCGCCGAAAATATACGATATAAATACACGGTTGATGAATTCCATTGCTCCTCGATTAATAAAAAATTAATAACGCGTCCCGGTGCAGTCGTTGGTGGCTAATCTTTCTTTAGACGAGACTAAACTACTACTTAATTTAAAACATCAACAACGAAGTTTATCGAATAATTTTAATATGGGTATACTTAGTTCTTTCGTATAGTTTCCGTAATCTTTCCTTAGACGCGACTAGACCACTTAATTTGAAACAACAACAACGAATAGGGGTTCATCGAATAATTTTAATATTAAACGTATATTTTCCGTTGACCTCCAGTTCCAGTAGTTCACTGTAGGAATTTTAAGTACTTCAAAGTCATAACCAGAATATATTTACGAAACTCGAAATTTTATTCTCGAAACTTAACTAAACTTCGTTTGGAAATAGTAAAGTCGTGGGTGTCAGTTTTTGAAAAGAAACCCCGTGGCGGGCAGGATCGTAAGAAAGAATTAGAAACGGAAACGGACGGCGATAGGAGAGCTTAACATTGGCAACGCTGACAGTTCATTGACTTGCATCGAACGCGTGCACCGATTGACAGGCCGGGCGCGGAGGTGCAACGGTACATCGTTCTCTCGTCTCGGGCTGTGCACGAAGTTGAGGTAGGCGAGGTCGCGTGTCTGACGTCACGAGAGAGTCACTTGACGACGAGTGTCGCCAATTCCGTACGCATACGTGCATACACGCGCGCGCCTGCGCCCGCTGACATCGCGGTGAAGATACGCGACGACGAGCACGACGACGACGACGAACGAACGGCACGAACGACGACGTTCCACGCGTCGTTCGTTACGTAACCGAGCCGCGAGGTCGTTGACCGATACGGGGCCGGGAAGTTCCTCCGCCCTGACCTACCTCCTTTGCCATTCTCAATTAGCGGCGCTACCGCGTGAAAAAAAAAACACCCCGACGGCGAGAAACGTACGCGTGACGATAAACGGATTCGACGGTGTTTCGTACTCTTCGATCGATCGGTCATTGTTTTTTAGTTCGGGGCGTAGAAGTGGGCGAGAAAATGGAACTACGGGCACTCGATTCGGGTTAAGCAACCATCGGTCGAGGACGGAGGTCGTTCACCTGGAACAGCAAAGAGGAATCGTCGTTCTCGAAAAGCAAACAAGCCCCAAAAAACTGTCGGTCCGTGGCACGAAAGTGGCGAAAGGGGGGTTTCCCGCTTCCCGCGTTTATTCGTGGCTGTCAGAGGGGTCGAGGTATCGAGAATAGGAGGCGAGGGTAGGGCGGGACACTCCGGGAGGGTGGTTCCTTGCAGAACGCGTCGGGGGGGGAGGAGGGAAGGAACCCGTTAGTAGAGCGCTCGAAGCGCGCGCGAGCCTCTATGGTCGCGCGGTCCGTTCGCCCGACGAAGACCGCGATACAGAGGGTTTGCCAGCGCGCGCGAACGGGTCAGGCGGCGGAACGGAGACGGACAGAGCGAGAGAGCGAGACGCGGACCGCCAGTGCGCGCAAGGGGGACTCTCACTTTCACGCGGTGAACTGCGGGTGAACGTCCGGGAATTGGGTCAGAGTGTCCCCCACCTCGACGAGCCAGAGGCAATGTGCCGATGCTCTATGCTCTCTGTGCTAGAAAGAGCCAGTCCACAGCCAAGCTCCGATACAAACGGTCGCTTCTTTGCCTCCCTCTACCCCCCTCTGGACGAAACTCGCGTTTCTCGACTTGCACGATCCTACGGAGGAACAGTTACGGTCGGTTCGTTGGTGAGTTTGATGGTTCCGGGACGAGCGTGGAACTTTATCAGTGAGGTTCGAGAAACTGTGACAAGGTTCGTTTCGTATCGGGCGCCGCGTCGTTTCCCGTGTTTGTTCGACGCACAGAGATCGTTCCGCCGGACCGATCGGTCGGAGAACCAAAGGCCCAGTGCGGCGTGCGAGAGGCACGCGACCCTCGTTTTACGATCAACACCCGTCATTGGCAACCGCGACACACAATTATTGGCCCAGGTGAATTAATGGGGTGTTTGTGCGAATGTGACCTGGCCACCCCGCGCACGGGGACCAATTGCTCGTCGGGGTCCTCATCAGACAGTGACGGTCAGACTGACGAGGGTTTCGTTGGTGATTCGCAGGGATTCTTCCGGCGGAGCATTCAGCAGAAGATTCAGTATCGGCCTTGCACCAAGAACCAGCAGTGCAGCATCCTGCGAATCAACAGGAACCGTTGCCAGTATTGTCGCCTCAAGAAGTGCATCGCCGTCGGCATGAGTCGTGATGGTGAGTCTTTTCGACGTTTACTATTTTCCTCTCTTACGCGGAGGCGCAGTCGGGAGCTCGTCAAGAGTACGTTACGCGACGTCATCCATTGACCAGAGTCGAGAAGTATTTACTTAAACGCATGGTACTTTCTAGATTCGTTCTTGCGAGCTCTCTGCGCTTTGCCCGATCGTTCGGCACGATTTTTCCACCTCGCTACATTTTTCACTCTACATCTTGTTGTTTCCGCGCGGAGTCAAAGTCGCGCAAAAAAATTCGCGAGCGAAAAAACTTATTACCGCACCGCGTAGCCGCGCTTTCCCTGGGACACACGATCGCCGTGTAACACATTTCTCCGAAAGAGTAGTTTCTAAAATCTAGAGTGCCAGGTCATTGACCGTTTGCGTAACGCTGCTCCCCGCGACACGGCAAGAGTGTCGCAATGGGCGAAAGTGGCCAGTTCGCCGTTTGAGAAAGCAGCCACGATTATCCCCCGATCGAGCCTCGACGAGCTTGCTTTCTTTTCGAAACATCGGCCCGATCCCTCCCGTTGACCTCTTTCGCCGCGAAACCCGCGAGAGGTGATTCGATCGACGCGCGGACCTCCCGGGGTCAACGACCCGGCCGCATCGGCTGGTCTACGTTCGCCTTGGATGCGACTACTTCGGTCTGATCTATAAACGTCCCTATCCACTTGCGATGCTAAATCGGCCGTAACGTATCGCAGACAGAAAGAGAGACAGAGAGAGAGAGATATCCTATGTTAAGGGGAATGTAACGCTGCGAGCAAGTAGAATGTGGACAGCGACGAGCCTTTTTCGCGTAGTCGCGACCTTACGGAGGCTGACTAAAACGTCTGACCTAATACGACGCGTTACTCCTTCCGATCTTGCTTGGTCGCTCTTTTTGCGATACGTTCCCTCTCGACGGAATTCTTGCATCAAAGATTTAATTTCGATTAAAATATTAAAAACAAAATTTTGTTACATTTCAAGTATCCGTTACGTTTGTTTGTACCATTCGAAAGATAACGAGCCGATTAATTAAGAATCGAGCGTGTCCCGTTCGGACAAATATAGTAAAAGTTCGCGAAGCAAGTCCCTACGATGGCAACGTGGACTCCACGGGGTCAATAGTCGGGCATTGCTCGACTTGCATGCGGCTCGACGTCCGTAGAAAGAGTACCGCTACTCGCCGCTACGTAGCCGGTGACCCTTCCACCTCCTTCCACGCTCCCCCCTCCTTTCCCAGCCGAGTACACTGTCGCGATCATCTCCCTCGCGCCCCCACTCCGTGTCGCTCGATCTCCTCGTCGAGAAGCTTCCCCCACCAGTGCGCGCGGAGCGACAACGCGCCGTCGCGTGGCGCTACGTTACGCGCGGAGACCTCGCGAACTTCGTTCCCTTCGCGATCGCATTCGAGCCCCCACTCCGGTTCCCCGCGAGCCTCTCCGCCGCGCGCGAGGCTTCCCCTTTCTCGCGTCGAGCCACCTGGCTCTCGGGCGCATGCTCCTCTCCAGCCGTCCCGCCAAACCGATGCGCCTCACTTGGCCGCCACGCAATTTGCGGCTGGACACCCGCGAGGTACCTGCTGCCACGGTTGCGACTTCGTTCCGTCTACGATCGTCGATCGAGCTGATTCGAGTCGTTTCACGATACGATTAGAAACGAACCAGGGATATTAGCGTTAGAAGAATAGAATCAGAGATTCGATGATATGCATCCTAAAAGTAGTATGTCTTTAACGACAACGTTTGTATTTGATTCGAGTAGCTCGCGTTACGATGACCCAGACCACACACTCGAGCAAAGAATCGAATGCCGTGCAGTCGACAGAGTTAATCCCATCGAGAGAGAGAATACGATATCCGGCGACGGAGAGATCGATCGTCCGTGAACGGATAAGTCGTTCGACGGCAGCTGGCGACAGGGCAAATAGCCAGAGCGAGGGGTTGCTCAAGGTCGTCGAGGGTAACTTACCCCCGGCAAAGGAAGTTTGCATCTGCGCACAGGAGAGTCACCTCTGGCAACGAGATCTCTGTCATATCTCTCTCTCTCTCTCTCTCTCTCTCTTGCGCGCTCGTTCTCGGTCTCTTTCCTTTTTCTCTGTCGTATTCAAGCACGAACACACAGAGTGACGAGCGCGCGCGCGCGCACACACGCGCGACAGTGTTCCACACAGGTACGCACACCCTCTCTTCCCGTGTGCGCGCTGGTCGCCACGCTCGGCGCGTACATTCGCTCGCTATATAGTATATATAGGTCGGCGGTACGCCTCGTGCGGCTGTCGCTGAAACCAAGTTCAAGGCCAAAGGCTCGGCAAAGGCCACAATCGTGGCCGGTGGTGGGAGTCGTTGATGGCTGAATAAGTGGAGGGGCTGTTGAACGCAACCCGCGGAACATCACTCAGTCGGCGGTGATGCTGTCTCGCGTCTGCACGCGTCGTACTGTCGCGCTCCTTTCTTGAACTCGCGAAGCAGCCGTGTGTCTGGCGGCGCGCCGTGCACGCCGCACTATACGATCTGGAGTGACTTGCGGGACAACGAGTCAGCCGTGAAACGGAAGCAGAATCCGTCGCGAGGATACCACCGAGCGAGAAGACAGATAATAAAAAAAAAAAAAATAATCAGACCGGGTTACGAGAGATCGGTCGCGTATGGTGCGCCATACGAGGTTCCGGGCTACGACGACCGGTAGTGATTGTGCCTATGGGAAAATAGTTTTCGTGCGCTGTGCAGTTCGATTCGAAGACACGCACCGCACAGGGGAGCGCAGTTAAGAACCGCGCGTTTTCCTCGACCGTCATGGGAGACGAGTTACCTATACTGAAGGGAATCCTCAACGGAGTTGTCAACTATCATAATGCACGTAGGTGTCCAGTGGGGATAAAAGCAACCCTTCGTTCGCGTTTTTTTTTACGGTGGTGTTCCGTGGCACGCGTTCCCTTTTTCACCCTCCGCGCTGCGCGGTTGACTTTCTATCGGTGGATTCGTAGCACGAGGAGGCCGGCCAGCCAAGCCGCACTTTCATTTCTCGCGCGAGAAAGTCGTGCGCTTTCCCCTCTCGATTTTTTTTCCCTGGCCCGAACGAACGAACGAACGAACGACGGCGCGTATCTGGTGCGGTGATAAGTTTGAACGGGAGGTGCTCGACGACCGTGGAGACCCGAGTCCCGCGGACGCGTGCCTTCTTTTTCCGCGTCCACGGATCGAAGCGACGCACGCGAGTACCGATGCGCCCGAAGGTCGCCCCCGAGCGATACGCCGCCGTGTCCGTTGCATGATTCATCCATTGATCGCATTAACTATTCATCGACGCGTCCTTCGTTCTGCTTACCACTGACCGAACTTGCTCTTCCCGTCTAACCATCGGACATCCGTTTCTGCTTATAGCGGTGCGATTCGGCCGTGTGCCCAAGCGCGAGAAGGCCAGGATTCTGGCTGCCATGCAGCAAAGCTCCCACAGCCGTTCTCAAGAGAAGGCAGTAGCCGCCGAGCTGGAGGACGAGCAACGGCTCTTGGCCACCGTTGTGCAAGCCCACCTCGACACATGCGATTTCACCAGAGACAAAGTGGCTCCGATCCTCGTACGAGCCCGAGAGACTCCTAACTACACCGCGTGTCCGCCAACCTTGGTGAGTATCGCACACACGATGCGTATTTATCTTACATTTACGCCTTTTCTTTTCTTTTTTTTCCTTTATTTTTTTGCTCGCGTCCGTCGCCGTTATTTTGAAAGTTCATTTTTACGCTCGCTTGCGTCAGCGCGAACCGGGCCTTGGAGAATCGTCGGTTTTACGCGGAAATCGAGACCAGTCGTCCTCGAGAAGCCGCGAAACGAGGAAGCCGAGAGTGCGTCTGGCACACGGCGTTGCGAGACGACGACGTCGACGACCTTCGACGCCACTCGTTCTCAACGCGACGTTCTCTTCCTTCTGTTGCAGGCATGCCCCCTGAACCCTAACCCTCAACCGTTGACTGGCCAGCAAGAGCTGCTCCAAGATTTCTCGAAGAGGTTCTCGCCGGCGATCCGCGGCGTGGTGGAATTCGCGAAACGCATTCCTGGATTCAGCCTGCTGGCTCAGGACGACCAGGTCACGCTGCTCAAGGCCGGCGTGTTCGAGGTGCTGCTCGTCCGACTGGCCTGCATGTTCGACGCCCAGACGAACAGCATGATATGCTTGAACGGCCAAGTGCTCAAACGGGAATCCATCCACAATAGCAGCAACGCGAGATTCCTGATGGACTCGATGTTCGATTTCGCCGAGAGGGTGAACTCCCTGCGACTGTCGGACGCCGAGCTGGGTCTGTTCTGTTCGGTGGTGGTGATCGCCGCGGACAGGCCGGGGCTGCGCAACACCGAGCTGGTCGAGCGTATGCACAACAAGCTGCGAAACGCTCTTCAGACAGTGCTGGCACAGAACCATCCCCAGCATCCGGACATCCTGAGGGAGCTTCTGAAGAAGATACCCGACCTGAGGACCCTGAACACCCTCCATTCGGAGAAGCTGCTGGCGTTCAAGATGACCGAGCAACAGCAGCAGATGCAGGCCCAGCAGCAGCAACAGCAGCAGCAACAGCAGCAGCAAACGCAACACGCGATGAACGCCCAGCAACCGCAGCAGCAGCAGCATTGGCCGATGGAAGAGGAACCACCGGCGTCCTGGGGCTCCGCCTCGGACGTTACCCTGGACGAGGCCGTAAAGAGCCCGTTGGGCAGCGTTTCGAGCACCGAGAGCACCTGCAGCGGCGAGGTCGCCTCACTGACCGAGTACCACCTGGTGGCTCCCCCTAGCGGACATCACGCGACGAGCGCGCCCCTGCTTGCCGCCACTCTGGCCGGCGGTCTCTGTCCCCATCGTCGGCGGGCGAACTCCGGCAGCACGAGCTCTGGCGACGACGAGCTTCATCGCGCGTCCCTCTCCAAGACGTCCCAGCCGCCCCAGTGCCCGCGGTTCCGTAAACTGGACTCGCCCAGCGACAGCGGGATCGAGTCCGGCACGGAGAAGCCGGACAAGCCGGCGAGCAGCAGCGCCAGCAGCGCGCCGACCTCCGTCTGCTCGAGCCCCCGCTCGGAGGACAAGGAAGTCGAGGACATGCCGGTGCTGAAACGGGTGCTGCAAGCGCCGCCGCTTTACGACGCGAACTCACTGATGGACGAGGCGTACAAGCCTCACAAGAAGTTCCGCGCTCTCCGTCAAAAGGACAGCGCGGAGGCCGAGCCGGCCGTGATCGTGCAGCACGCGCAATCCCAGCTCCACCTGCACCTGACCTCGCCGCCGGCTAGAAGTCCCTCGAACCAGATGGCGCCCCAGTGCCCGCAGACGGCCAGTCTGCTGAGCAGCACCCACTCCACCCTGGCCAGGAGCCTGATGGAGGGTCCGCGGATGACCGCCGAGCAGATGAAGCGCACGGACATCATCCACAATTACATAATGCGCGGCGAGGGCAGCCCCAGGTCGCCGGCGGTCTCGCCGTCGCCCGCGGAGCAGTGCGCCTCGACGACCACCATCACCGCGCGCTCGCCCCAGGGTACCCAGGGCCTCTTGCAGTGCGCCACCAGCAGCTACTCGACGACCCGGTGGCCGGCCACGTCCGTGATCACGACGACGACCGGCGCCCGGCAGCAACAACAGCAACAGCAACAGCAGCAGCAGCAGCAGCAACAGCAACAGCAGTCTTCCTCGGACTACCTCATGCTCGGGAACTCGCCCGCCTCGTCACCCAGGTACCTGTCCGCGGCGGCGACGAGTAGTACGAGCACGAGTCCAAGGCCCACCTCGAGTACGGCGGCAGCGACGTTGATGCTGTCCGGCTGCCCCAGCAACATGATGGAGCTGCAGGTGGACATCGCCGACAGCCAGCAGCCGTTGAATCTGTCGAAGAAGTCGCCGTCCCCGTCGCCGAGGCCGCTGGTAGGACCGTGCAAAGCCCTGTCCCTCGAGGCGTAGTGGTCTCGCGCGGCTGGCAACGATCACCGCGACGCGGGACGCGTCGGGGACGCCGTACGGCGCGAGTAACGTCCGCGATCCGCGTGTCGCGTAACCGCGCGGTTGGGGAGGACACTTCATTTCGACGAAGGAACAAGTATGAAAGTGCCAGGACGCTCTGAGCGCGTGATAAACCAAATAATTTATTAATTTAAACTATTAATCGATAATTGCGCGAGACACTATCGGAGAGACGGTGGGAGGTGGCGGAAAAAAAACCGAACGTCCAGACCTCCTTCGCGGACACCGCTCCGTGTCGTATTTATGAAGAATATATTTCTGTTCTCCAAAATGGTGTGGTGAAACCGAAGGACGGATCGAACGGGAACCGGGACTCTTTGAGACGAGTAAGTGCCGTTCCGGTAGCAAACGAGTGCCGTGTAGGGATTTACCTGTTCACCGAAAGGGATCTACCTGCCCGATTACCCGTCTACCACCAGAGCATCGACGATAACACGTGACGGAGATCCGTCTGGGGTGTTTGGACGATCTAGAAAGATAACGTTATCGATCAAGGGTAAACAAGGAGGAAACAGTAAGACAAGAATGATTGAATGTTACAGAAATTAATAATCTATCTACATGTGATAATCATGGAAATCGCGCATCCTGTACAGTCTCCACCTCATTCATCGATCATCTTACTCTACTATAATTATTGAATATAATAAAAAAGTAATTAATATTATTGTAACATGTGTAAGGTATAATAATCGTAAAAGTTATCATCTTGTGTATGTGCGCGTAGGGAAAGAAAACACGAGTGAGAGAGTGCGAGTGGGTGTGCGTGACGATCGACCAGGAACAAGAACGAATGGAAAACGCGTGAGCGTGCTTGTGCAAGTGAGTCGGGGAAAAATCGCAGCAAACGAGCTACAGAGAGAAAAAAAGCAAAAAACATATATATACAGGATGTTCGTCCACACCTGGGAAACATTTTAATGGGAGCTTGTAGGGACCAAAATAAGAGGAAAATCAAGAATACCAATTTTTTGATGGAGGCTTCGTTAACAAGTTATCAACGTTTTAAAGCTGATAGTGGTTCTCGCTCAGAAAACTGTAAGGCTGTCGATGAGTCAGTAAGTAGATTTTCTCATGTTGAGTGAGAACCACTATTCCACAGGCGAAGTATTCTTGATTTTCGTCTCGTTTTGGCCTCTAGAATTTTCTATAAAAATTTTCCCCAGAGGTGATCGAATACCCTGTATGTATGTACGAAAATGACGAAAAAGAAAAAAAACCCGGCTTTTCGATCGATCACGTTCGAACGAAAAGCACAGAGTCAGAGCCAGCGAGAACGATCGCGATATTTTAATAATAATGAGACTGACCCGGCCCGCCGCGGCCTCCGAGAGTTTGCAATCAACCGTACCTTTTATCACGTAAACCCGCGGTGTCGTGCTTCTCGTCTTCGGGCGAACGACCCGAGAACCAAAACACGGTCTATCCGATTATTCTGATTCGCGTCGCGAAAAGAACCTTAGGTATTGTACAGACACAGAGACCCCGTGTTTGTCTGTTCTTTTCTTCTCTTTTTTTTTTTTAGCCAAAACACCGCGACAACACAGACACGTCGCGTGTGGCGTAACGGATGAGAGAAAGAAAAAAGTACGAGACTAGAGTCAACGGTGTGTGAGAGAGCGTGCGCGTGCGAGTGAAAGAGAAAGAGAAAAGGATATTGAGAGAGAGAGAGAGAGAGAGAGAGGAGTCGCGTGCAACTTCGTTAGAATCGGCGTACGGCGCAGAAATGTAAATAGTAAATTCGTAAGACTAGGTCGTAGAAGCCGCGCGAGTGGACGAGATTTTTTTTCTTCTGGTTTTTTTTTGTCTTGGTTTGCTGACGAGAAAAGATACACTCGGCGAGAAAGAGGTAACGAGAGAAAGGAAAAAACAGGAAACGAAGATAACGCGGCGGGCCGCCGCCGACGTGTTGTTGAGACGCCCGCCCCGCCCCCCCCCCCTTTTCGCTCCCCGTAGTACAGCCGGGAGAGAAACGCAAAATACAATCCGTGGAAGATAAAAATGAAAAAAAAAAAGATATGTAACGACCCCGCTCCCCACCCTCGAACGCGAGAAACAAACACACACGCGCACACACACACACACACACACACGCGTACACGAGTGCGCGCGCACGTGCGACTAGAGGACGAAAACGCGTGTGGCATTGCGATACCCAGCGAGCCGAGAATCACTGTTCGACGGCTGAACAAAAAGGATAAAACTCGGTAGGGCGATGGCGATGAAAAAGAGAGAAAAAGAAAAAAAAGATATGTAAACAGAATTGCTCAATGGGCACCCAGAAAACCGTTGTCTCGCTACTTTGAGCGCAGCTCCGTCGGATCCCCAACCCCCTCGGAAAACACATCCCGAACAAAGCTTGTAGTGGAACACTCTGTGTATTTATTGTACTCGAGGAAAAAAAAAGTCATTCCCTTTTACGCTCTGTGTATCACCGTTCTCCCTCGACTCGTTTCATCGCTCCCGACTCCGTGTAGAATCCTTCTTGCTGTCCCACCAGCCGCAAAGTCAAAGTCCCCTCTGTTCCTCCGCCATTTAGCCAATCACCCCCCCCTGATAGAGATTAACCCGAACTTTCCAAGTTGCACGTGTTTATCAATACGTGCAACCCCCGGAGTCCGATGTTCACAATCAGCTAATACAGAAACGTCCTTTTGTCTCACCTCGCCCCCACCCTCGAACCCCCTAATTCGTCCAGTTTTCCCGTCGCTCATCCACCCAGGACATCCCCCCAACCGAAAGCCCCCCGCCCGCCCCCCCTTCCCCGATGCCCCCCGCAAGCGAACTAGCGTTGATATTCGTAATACTTGTTATGCATAAACTACACATAATGATTATTATAGTAAACGATACATAAAGTATGATATATTTCTCTATCCATTAAGAAGGAGGACACAAGCAGACAAAAAAAGTAATAATATTGATGGAAAAAAAACAAAATATCGAAAGTGTACTCTATTACATTGCAAGAATACAAACACGCAGCCCCGCATATTGCCCAGTGAGCACGTCATTTTGTACGCTTGGGAGTTGTGAGGTCGTCTGAATAAACATTGTCTGGTGAATTATACAGAAAATAAAACATGTCTCTTATTTATGCGTTCCCCCGATCCATCCCCCTCGATAGAAGAAGCGTAATCTTCTACAAACCTATCGATCTACCATAAATAATATTGGAAAGTAAATGTCTCGAAGTAGCGAAGAAAATTTTGAAAAGTATCACTCTTTTTCTGAGTATCGATAGATCGAAATTTTTTATTAGAAAATCGTCTGCTTCTTTTTACGCGGACTCCAGTGTTAATCTTCGGCGTCGAAGCAGAGAAAAGGCGTCGTAAGTGATGGTATCGAGGGAAGAAACGAGAAAAATTGAAAGTTCGATCGAAAGTGGTGCTGGGAACTGGTTTTGCGCAAAATAAAGAATGCAGCGGGGAAAGAAATTGATCGAAGCGTCGTGGTTAACGTTCGGAACCGTCGAACGAATTCAGCCTCTCCCATTGTCTACGGGAACAAAGTCGTTGCAGTTAATTGATTCGCTGTTCGCCCCGCAAGGGTGTCTCGCGATTCGTTAGATGAAAGAACGTAAACCGGGCAGAAAGAAACTCGATTAACGCGTGCAATTAAACAGAGCGAAGATTGCGCGAAGGAACGTGTAATCGGTTCGCGGTAAAGTTCCATTGCCCGATGATTAACAGTCGAGGGCAGCCAGGAAACGCTGCAGTGTCGTCCTTTCATGCTCCTCGAGCACGGCGAGGCGATTGCATTTCGAAAATTGGTTTAAACTCGACTCGCTAATGAACGAGCTTCGAACCGCTGAAAACGATTTTTTGTTTTCCAATCATAGAAAAACTACTGCCCGAAGATTGATAAATATTCTGGAAATATTGGTAAGTATTGGGAGAAATAGTTGTAGCGTTGATTAGATTAATTTTTCTCCCGCATCAAATATTTACTTGACCCCTTAACGATCATATTTTTCGAGTTAACCAAGAATGATCAGTTTTCTTTATTGGATTCGTTTCTAAAAATGCGGTTTTTGTTAATTACAATGTTGTATCCATAATTTGAAAGAAAACAAATATTATCATCCCTTAAACCGTTAGATTAAACAAATATCCTTTTTCAAAGCAGTCAGACTCAGGAGACTTAAGGGGTTAATAGTGATTTAAAGTTGTACGTGTGTCTTGATCTCAGAGATGGTCAATTAAAAACTATCGTCAGATATCAGGATAAACAAAGTGTATAATATTTTTATGAAAGTCCAGAAATATTGATAAAGCAGTCAGGTTTTAATAGATGCAAGAACAGTCGTTAAATATGCAGAAATATTGTAGTGAAATCGAATGAATTTGCACATATTCGCGTGATTGCAAAGTCAACCCTTTTATTCGAATCGCGTGAAAGCGGCGAAGGTAACTTTCGTATTAATACCGCAAATAAATGAGTCATGGGAGTTAATTGATTGCAGCATAATGAGGTTTAGAGTAGCAATCAAAGTCAATCGACAAAGAATTTTTACAAACATTTCTAAAATACAAGACTCTTTTTAACACGTTCACTGCCAGATGAAAACCGTGCAATTCTCTGCAAGACCAAAATTTTGATTTTAAACCATTATAAACTGCATAACCTTATTTTTGCAAGTTCGGTAAAATTCATAAATCCTATCCAAATTTTCCCCCTCGACGTGTCTGCTTGAGAATTAATTTTTCTAGTTTCACAGTGGAAAATCCTCTGTCGCTCGTATATGGATGACGTGGCAGTCAAAGTGTTAAAAATACTTGAGTACTTGAATTTGAAAATATGTCCCTAACCAAGATGCTCGATGACACCTTATTCGCCCAATTTGTATAAAAATTGAAATATTGCATCTCGTGAATATATCGTACCGAGCAGAGTATTGTAAATTTGAGAAACTCGATGAAAAATGTTCGAAACCGAACGAGTAAACAGGGGCTTCGTAATACCGAGGGAGCAGGTGGATCGCGCGGGCGCGACGCAGAAGCGCATCCACGGTTGCATAATTGGCCCGCGAAGGGTTGCCTTACTTCGCGTTCATAGAATCCGACAAGGCGATGCTATTTAACAACCAGGAGAAAATTCGTGCGGCGGATGGTGGCGCGTGGCATTTCGTGGGCGTTGGTTGCCACGCAACCTGTCTCACCTCTCCGTCCCCTATCGTGAACTTTCCCTCTTTGATTCCCCTCGCCCACGTCTGGCTCCTCTGCTACCGTTGCATTATATGGTGCATTCCGGTATTAAGCTTCCACGCGCATCCAGGGAAAATTGGGGGGGGTGGGAAATTTGAACGTAGGCGGAGCGAACGTCATAATTATCTTGACGGTGCGCTGGGATTATTTCGACGCGTTCGATTGTTATCGTCATTTCTATTTTTGCATCCGGATCTAGATTTTTCCTACTTAACGCGTCGATTCGCCAGACCATACCCCTAAAATGGGGATCGCGATACGTTCGTAGCAGGATTTACGAGGGAGGGGAGAGACCTTGAACGGCCAATTGATTTTGCATCGACTTGGTTATACTTAACTGTATCGGTTATCGACGACCGTCGTGAACTACATATCGGTTTAACCTTTCAACGCAGTGGACATGTTTACGCGTCCACCGATTTACATTCATGTTTCAAGCGCTGTGGACTAGTTTATCCATTCGCTATTTGACTTTCGAATGATGTTCCTGCAACGTTTTTAGACTCATAGGGAAACTGACCATAGATACGGAGTAACCTCTAAAACGGCTAGGAAATGTAAACGCATAGTTACTAATTACAGAAAAATTTCGCAATAAAATATTCTGGATAGAAACTATATCGTGTCAATTTAATTATTATGATTTTTTAAACATACGCATGAAATTTCGGCGAAACATTTTTGCCCACACAGTATATTTTCGATAAAGAATTTTTTTCTCGAAAATGGTTAGGCTTTCAGGGGTGTGTCTATTCACCAAAAATGATTGTAATGGACTCCCACAACTAGAAATAATTTTTTTAGATCGATTTGAAATTTTTTAATTTCGCCGAAAAATTTCATACCTCTCGAATTTTTGTGTCGAAAGTGGGTAGGATTTCGGGGGTATGTCTATTCACCAAAAATGATTGTTATTGACCCCCGTAATTAAAGATAATTTTTTTAGAACGATTTGAAATTTTTTAATTTCATCACAAAATTTCACACCTTTCGAATTTTTTTCTCAAAAGTGGGTAGGATTTCAGGGGTATATCTATTCACCAAAAATGATTGTAATGATCTCCCACAATTAGAAATAATTTTTTCAGAACGATTTGAAATTTTTTAATTTCATCAAAAAATTCCACACCTTTCGAATTTTTTTTCTCGAAAGTGGGTAGGATTTTGAGGGTATGTCTATTCACCAAAAATGATTGTAATTGACCCCTGCAATTAAAGATAATTTTTTTAGAACGATTTGAAATTTTTTTTTTTCGTCGAAAAATTTCACAACTCACGAATTTTTTTCTCGAAAATGGGTAGGATTTCGGGGGTTTGTCTATTCACCAAAAATGATTGTAATGGACTCCCACAACTAGAAATAATTTTTTCAGAACGGTTTGGAACTTCTTAATTTCGTCGAAAAATTAGGGTAGAGGATTTAGTCTAAGGCTTAGCTACAGCATAATATAAGCATCTTTTTCAGCTATAATCTAAACTATTTCTTCGAAGAGTTCCTTAATACCTTATGAAAGCCCGGTGAATGCCACTACTTTCGACTTCCGCGTTACTAAATTCGCTATGAAACTTGAAATCGAGCGAATCCGGAACCAATTTTTCTTAGATCGTGATCACAAACCTTTAGAAAATGTAATGACACAAAAACGATCACTGGGACTCACCCTGAAGTATAACAAAATCGTCAACGAAGTCGAACAATCGTAAAGAACATCACTGAATTATTGACTATCTTCAAATATTAATAACTATACAAACACATACGATGAAAAAGTAATACCTGTTCAGAGGCGTATACTTAAAAGCTTCCATAATGGAAAAGTTTATACAACTTCTTTGAAACATGTAAAAATTGCTAATAAGTGAACAGTGTTTCAGAGAATGGTTAAGGTAGAAGCACAGCAGTTGATGAATGTTGATACAATGTTCCTCACATATTCGACTACCTCAGGCAGTAAAAATATTATAGCATATACATCAAATTAGTATAATCGTCTTATGTCTAACTTTTCGGGGCA